AGTGGCGGCTGCTGAATAAGGGCCCAACTCTGCAGGCAGCAGCGCAGAAGTAAGGGTGGTAATACCATACCATGCCATCCTTAATTCTGCTCTGCTGCTGGCCAGCAGCCACCGCTCTCCGCCTGCTCAGCTCTGAAGGCAGTGCCACCACCAGCAACAGGGCAGAAGTAAGGGTAGCAATACTGCAAACCCCCCTACAATAACCTGGCGACCCACTGCCTCCCACAACTCCTTTTTGGGTCAGGACCCCTACAATTACAACACCATGAAATTTCAGATTTAAATAGCTGCAATCATGAAATTTACAATTTTGAAATTCCTATGACCATGAAATTGACCAAAATGGACCGTGAATTTGGTAGGGCCCTACCTATGTGAATATGCATTATTTATGATACAGTCTCTAGTTACATGATCATAAAATATTTTTTCCACAGAACCTCTGCCTTATTCAATGCACTGGAGTCACCATACTCTGGGGATGAATCAGGGTTGTGTAGTGAAGGAAAAAATTGTCTGTATTACCTCTGCTTCATGTGTTGCAGAACTTGGAAGGTGTGTAACAACTGAAGTAGTGGATTGCAGACATGGAAAGGCTGACCTTGTGGTTAAGGCAGTTGAATGCTGATCTGGAGAATTGTATTCTCTCTCTGCCTCTGCCACAGAATTCCTATATGATGGTGGGCAAGTCACTTAAACCAAACTTTTCAGAGGTGGTCACTAATTATGTTCCTCATTTTCTGGGTGTCCAACTTAAGACCCTGGGGCTTGATCTGAACCTAAAACAGAAGTCAGCCGTGCTTTGGACACAAAGTTCTATGTAATGCTAAGTGTAACACTTTGGGGTTCAACTCAGATCAGTAAGAGGTTGTGTCACTACACTGTCCTGTAGCTCTGGGCTTATCTGTACTGTGCAGCCCTGGCTGAAAGCCCTGACACCAGCAGCATGCTCATAGCACAATAACCTCACCCTGGCTTCCACCAGCCTCGGTTATTCCTTGCAAGGTGACCCCAACACCCCGCCCCAGATAGACAGAGTTACAAGCAAACAAAAGTAACGATATGCTTCTAAGACTAAGATCTGATTTAACCAACTAGACTCTCTTGTTCAAAGTGTTTCTAATCAAGTCTCTTTTCCAGCAGCGTTGACCAGACTCTCGAGCCAGAGCCTTCACAGAGCTCCAAGTGCTCAGTTCCTTTATCTCTTCAGGTGAAGGATACCAAAATGGCTTTTTCTCTCTCCTTATATCTTTCTAAAGTTCATTGATCCTGGTGCATCTTTCCCCACTTGCTCCCCTGATGGCTTTGTTTACCATGCATGTAAGTGTACCTTCATCGTCTCTGCCTGATGACCAGGCAAATACAGATTCCTTTGTCTATGGCAGACTGGGCTTATGCATTGCTTGCCCAACACAGTTTAAGGACATAATTCTAGCACATATTTATAACATTGTACATACACCACACAATGATTTTCAGGACAAGTGTGTTACCAGTTTGTATATGATATCTTACATGACAACTTTTAGATACACATTATGACATGTACTGAGTATGTGAGGCCCGACAAGAGTTGCTGACACAGTAGTGAACATCAATGGGCCTCAGTATCACACTAAGCCCTGGTCTACACTGCAGAGTTAGGTCGATGCAAGGCAGCTTATGTCACCCTAACTATGTAAGTGTCTACACTAAAATTTTCGTTCCTGCTGACGTGACTCGTCCACTCCACCAACTTAATAACTCCACCTCCACGAGAGGCGTAGAGTCAGTGTCAATGTAGTTAGATCAACGCAGCGTCAGCGCAGACACTGTTGCTTACATCGACTGTTGCTGGCTTTCAGAAGCCGTTCCACAATGCCTTACACTGACAGTTCAATCGTGCAAGCGTGAGGACACACACCGTCAACACAAGGTGCAAAGTTTAGACACGTACAAACGATTTAGTTACTGTGGCAGTTGTACACTAACATAAATTAGGTTGACTTAATTTTGTAGTGGACATGCCCTAAGTTCTCTGAAAAATCAGATCATACGTGCTTCAAATTTGATGCTAAAAGCTGGTGGACACTTTTGCCCTTAATCTCTTGCCTCAGTTCTCCGTCTGTAAAATGTGGATGATGCCATCCTCTCACCTCACAGAAGTGTTATGAAAATAAATCAATTTAATGCATGAGCAATCTTAATAGTGGTATTTCCTAACTTTGAGTGCTTGAGTTTGCATGCGTAATGTTCCTTTAATGTCATTTTTTGTGTGTGTAAAATATATTAAAAAACAGAAGAAATGGAAACCAACAGGATGGGTCATCCTGGTACTTATGTATCTTATCTGGTCCATATATTTATATTTAACTGGTTACATTATTATATTATTTATTTATCTGTATTGTGGTAGAACCTAAGAGCCCCAGTCCTGGGCCAGGAACCACTGTGCTAGGGGCTGTAAGAACACTGAAAAATGAGTCTCTGCACACACAATTCAGTACATTTCTTTGTGTCAGGGTTTTTGTTTTCTTCCACGTTTTGCAGAACACGGAACACTGCTAGCACTCTGTACAATATAATAATAATAATACTTTTGAAATAATACCAAAGTAATGTTATTTTGAAGGTACAAAAATACATACTTTAGACAGTTAAATGGAATTATTAAAAGTTTTAAAATCTGACTTTGAATGTTATTTGGGTCAAAGGACACTTATAAAATGTGAAAGTTGTAGTGGGTGAGCACCCCTACAAAGTATAAGGAGACATAAAAACAGACATAGCTAAACTTGTACACAGGTACCAGGAGACCAGCCGTCCAAGCCCTTAAATTACCAGGTTTCAGCAAACTTGTGAAATAAGGATGTGGCCCATCCATGTTTATAATGTTTTGTGTGACAGCGCAGGTAACAAACTATGTCATTACTATTTAGACAGCTATAGTTCAGGGTTAAATTAGGGCTCCACAGCATATTTTTCTTTTCTGCCCGCAGAAGCAAAAAAGAAATTGTTATTTAATGTAGCTGGGCCACAAGCATGTTTCACATTTGTGTTTAAACATGGTTATATTTGTATAACATTCAGTCCTGTCCTCTCTCCAAGGTTAACTGTTCTGTACCACAGTTAAAGGAATCTGCATTCTAACCCTTTTTAAGTTGCCAGATCTTGACCTAGCCTGTAACACAGTCCCTTAACATTATTATAGAACAGTATGTCCTGTCCATGCTAGCAAGAAAACTACATGTTAGAACGCTGATATTCCTTCCCATGCCAGACAGCTATGCTGCAGCATAATGATGCTTAGCAGAATTTTATTTTTATTTTTTATAATTCTGACAGATATCATGTGTCTTTTTAAGAATTTTTTAAAAGATTTTTATTGATTTAAATTTTCACAGTTGTGAGAAATTATGGGTGGAGGGAATGACAGTCAATGCCGAGATTCAAAAAGTTAAAGCTTTATAACCGTTAAAACACAAATCGTCACCATTATATATCAAAACACACTGGGTAAAAATCCTTACATCAAACTCTAAATTCTGAAGCAGCATTTTCCTTACTCTGCCTATCTGTAAATTTTGATAATTACCTTCTAAAATGTTTTTTCCCCTGTGTGTGTACAAAGAAACTGATGTTTAGCCATAAAAATCTAATTGTTCCAAGCCTAAGCCTAGTTCAGCCTCCAAAACAGAGCATTAAATGGTGTTATCTTGCAGCATGGGCATGGCTACCACCTTTGCAATGCAAAAAAAGCCCCCCCACACTCCCATCCCCCACAAGACAAGCTCTCCGCAATCCAAACCCCAAGGGAACTCCTCAACCTCCCAACAGCCACTTATAGTATCTAGAGCAGTGGTCCCCAAACTTTTCATGGTCGTGCCCCCCCTTACCCTGTTCACAACCCACCCCCAGGAGCTAGGGTGGACAGGGGTAAGGGGGCCAAGGCTGGGGCCAACTGGGGCTGGAGGCTCCTGGCTGGGAGCCAGGGCCATGGCTTGGGGTAGAGTGGGGCTGGGTGACATTCCCTCCCCACCCCCTGTGGGGGCTCACCCGGGGCCCTGCTGTGCCCCCGAACGTTCCTCTGCACCCCTGGGGGGGGCACAACCCACAGTCTGGGACAGTGGTGGGCAACCTGCGGGCCGCAGGCCACACACGGCCTGTCAGGGTAATCCTCTGGCGGGCCACCAGACAGTTTGTTTATATTTGCATGGCCACCCGCAGCTCCCAGTGGCCGCAGTTCGCCTTTCCCAGCCAATGGGAGCTGCGGGAAGCGTCGGCCAGCACGTCCCTGCAGCCCGTGCCACTACCTGCAGCTCCCATTGGCTGGGAACGGCAAACCGCAGCCACTGGGAACTGTGGGCAGCCATGCCTGTGGGCAGTCAATGTAAACACTGTCTTGCAGCCCGCCAACAGATTACCCTGACAGGCTGCAGGTTGTCCACCACTAGTTTGGGAGCACTGATCTAGTTATAACACATAGTTCATAGATAAGATTTATAACACCATTTTCTTACTTAAACTTCAGAAATGGGACCACTGCAGCATCTTTAGCTGGACACAGAAACTTTTAACATTAGTATTGTGACAATAATGCAAATCTTTAGGCTCAGGTAAAAAAAGCCCAGCAGATTACTTGATTTTTCTGGCAATTGGCAAATCTATAAAAAAAAAACAACAGCCAGGCTGGTCAAATACCAGCCAGCTGGTCACCCTCGGCATGGGTAAACTAACTCTGGGGTTACTGGAATATTGCAATGTTACTGCCAAGTGTTTCAATGCAGCTGCTGGATTTCCTCTTCCAAGGCAACACGTTTCTACCTAGGAGGCTAAGCCTTATTCCTATGAAGGATGCAGCCTGTTTCTGCACAGTCACACAGAGCTTGTGGAGCGCGAGCCCCGACCCGGGTGGGGGATGGAAGCCGCGGCCCCTTTGCTACCCGGGCGCTTTGGCAGCAGGCGCTCTGCGGATCACGCGCTCCGCCGGTGCCCGCGGGCGGGCTGCAGCCAGCCCGGCTGCGCGGGGGGAGCGTGCCGCGGCCCTGGGCCGGCGGGAGGGCCCGATTGGCTGGCTGAGAGCCGGGCCGGCGCGCTGCGGAGCAGCGCTCGCCCAGCAGCCGCGGGTCAGGATGGTGGAAGCGTGGTACATGGACGAGTCCGGAGAGGACCAGAGGGCCCCGCACCGGCAGGAGCCGCACCGGCCCGTCAGCCTGGAGCAGCTGCGCCGGCTCGGAGTCTTCCACTGGAAAGTAGGCAGCGAGCCTGGCCTAACCCTAAGCGGCGCCTGTAGTCCGGCCACTCAGCCAGGGTCCCCGGGACGGGAGCTCCTGGCCCGCAGCCTCCAGCCGCCCGGCCGCCGCAGGATCTCGCTCCAGCTGCTTGCGCAGTGCGGGCTCCGGGGCCCAGACATCTCTGGTCTTTGCCTCCGCCCATAGACTTGTCTACAGCGTGCGAGCGCCAGCGTGGCTCAGAACACCCCGATCCCTGCTCCCAACCCGTGCTGCAGCGGCCAGGGTGGAGTGGGGGGTTGAGGACCCCCGCTGGCCTTTGATCGGGGAAGCGGGGTATTGCTTTGCTGTTACCAGATCCCCAGCCCAGGGTGGGCGGTTGATGGGCCCTCTCCTCTGCCCGAGTCACTTACCATTTGTCTTTTAAATTAACTCTGCACTTTAGCCCCTGCCTTTACTGAGTCTGTGCCGCAGCGCTAGCAACCACAGCTGTTTGTCTGATGCTCCTCCTGCTTGTTCCTGAAATACCATTCACTTCCATAACACGGACTTGCACATCCACATGGCCTGGCTTTGCCTGTTAATATTGGAGATAATGGAAACCCATCTTCATGGTCCAGTGTTGTGCCAAAGGAAATCCAAATGTATCAGGTAGTCTAAAAGGCCTGTATGGGCCCAGACATGGTTCTTGAGAGAGAGGTGCTAATAAGGGATCGAATCTCAGTGCAGGTAGGGCCCAAGGAGTGTCAGGTGTCCTGCCCTTGTAGTTTAAAAATCATGATTTGTTTTTTTTAATAGAAGTGAAAACCTAAGATCCCTGCTGGAATTGGAAGCATGCGAGCCTGCTTAAATGTAAAGGTGGTATTGTATGCTTTCGATCCTAGTTTGAGGTTGAACATACACGAGACAAAAAGTGCATAAATGGCTTAGCCTATTAAGTGCCCACTTTTCAAAATTAATTTAGATTAAGACTGAGGCCTTGTCTAAACTCAAGAATTGTTCTGCTTTACCTAGCCCAGTACATTAGAACCTCAGAGTTACAAACACCTTGGGCATGGAGGTTCGTAACTCTGAACAAAACATTATGGCTGTTCTTTCAAAAGTTTACAACTGAACATTGACTCAATACAACTTTGAAACTTTACTGTGCAGAAGAAAAATGCTGCTTTTACCCATCTTAATTTAAAAGAAACAAGCACAGGAACAGTTTCCTTACCTTGTCACGTCTTTTTTTTATTATTATTTTTACTTTTCCTTTATTTTTTAGTAGTTTACATTAAACACAGTACTGCACTGTGTACTTTTTTTTTTTTTTTTTTTTTTTTTTTCCTGATTTCTTTTTTTTGGTTCCAAATGAGGTGTGTGGTTGACCGGTCAGTTCGTAAAACTGTAACTCTGTGTTCGTAACTCTGAGGTTCTACTGTATAGCTAAAACAGCAACCCTCCTCCCCAATGTGGGTGAAGTTATATTGGCATAAATGTGCTTAGTCTGTTTTTTAGATTGTCAGACAGTGAAACAGTGGGGAGCAGGTAACAGATTTTATGTAAGTGCAAAGCATATTACAGCCCTGCTGTGGAAAAGTGATTTTTAGATTAGTGATGATGGGCGAGGTTAGTAAAGACAAATAAACAAATATATTATGAAAGTTCTACCTTTAGGTATTTGGGCAGCTAACCACGATCTCTCCTTCCCACAGGCTAATTCACAGGGTTCCTAAAGTGAAGCACATGTACATTGGTGGTGCTCTATAATGGGTGGGTCAGACAGAAGAACTGCATAATTGAGCAATTCTGGCACCTAGGCTACAGGCCAGACAGTCTTGTACTGTAAAATGTATCCCTTATGGATACACAAGATAGAATTCAATAATTCCTGTCTCCCAGTCACATGCTGGGTTCACTAGAGCAAGTAGCCTTTATAAGAGACTCTTCTAAGCCTGATATGAGAAACTCTTTTAGGGTATGATATGTATCTGTGGTGAGACTTATAAAGGTTTTTATAGCATGGTATTTATTGCATAAAGTGTAGGCTTATCAGTAACAAGTCACTGAGCCTATTGTTAATTCCTACCAAAAAACCCAAAACAAAACATTAGAGCTGAGAATGTGGAACCTCAGATAGGGTGACCAGACAGCAAGTGTGAAAAATCGGGACAGGGTGGGGGTAATAGGAGCCTATATAAGAAAAAGACCCCAAAATCGGGACTGTCCCTATAAAATCGGGACATCTGGTCACCCTAACCTCAGACAGCCTCTTTCATTTGGGTTATTAACATGTTCTCACATCCGGGAAGGTGGATACTGAGCAAAGAAAGTCTGTAACCAGAGCAGTTTAATGAAGTTTTTAAAATAATCAATGAAGACACCCTCCCTCCCCCCATTGTTGTTGCCAACTTTCAACTGAATGTTATTTATTTATTTATTTTGCTGTCATGCTGCTGCTGCTGCTTCTCCTACCAAGGCTAATTTGTTTTGGAAGCGTGCCTTGCCAGGATTGGCAGGCTGCCTGGTGGGAAAGCGGTAGTGAAGTGACTACGAACAACGAGAATGTTCCTCCTGGTAACTCCAAACTTCAGCAACTGTGCAGGGACAATGGCAATCCTGCTGATTAGTCACGAGGGACTCCCAGTTGTTTTCTTTGTGAGGGAGGACAAGACATGATTCACTCTAACTCTGGGATTCTGGCTCTGGAACGAGAAGCAGACTGTGGGAGCAGTGTCTGATGGCAGATTGAGCTTGCTTTCCCAGTACGTCCCACTGAGACACCCACACTGACTCTGAAAGGCTAGCTTTTCTATAATCCCTTTTTTTCCCTTTAGACTACAGAATAACAAATAAATAACCTTGCTGGACTTGTTAGTAACTAGTATGTAACTTGAAATGTTATTTATACACTAACTGGCTGCGCTTTTTGGTTTTGGAAGTAGTTGTTTGGGTATCCTGGCTGTCTCTGATGTTTGTTTGTTTTTAATTCCTCCTTCCCTCCCTCCAAAAAATCACACAGTTGGATGCTGACAACTATGAGACTGACCCAGACCTAGCAAGGATTCGGAAAGAGAAAAACTATTCTTGGATGGATATAATAACGATACATAAAGATAAGCTGCCAAATTATCAAGACAAGGTAAAGCAGCCCTGGTTTGGATCTGGGAAGGGAGTAAGTTCTGAAGTCTGCCACTAGAGTATGCACCAGCTTTTGAAGTGCACGTTCAGAACCTGCTCTTTGAACGATGGATTTTTCCCCATTTTTAAAAATCACATTATTTAGTTTTTAGATTTTCAAATGGCTGCTTGGATTCCATTTTTAAAACGAGAGAGGGTTTTGTGTTTTCTGTAATCGCTTTCCCTTTAGTAGCTTACATATGATGCCTTTTAGAATGGTTCCCATTTGTGGCTCTCATTTGTCATGTTGAAACTGCACATTTGCAAATGGAGCCCTGCAAACACTATTAGATTATCATCCAAACTAAGGTCAGGCCATTGCCAGCTTGGGGCTTTGGCAAAATCTTTCCCCTTTCTGAACTTCAGAGCAGCAAGCCCTGAGCTTGGTCACTGCTGCCCTAGCACATGGTGGTAATTTTAATCAACAATAACAAATCCCTCAGTACTGTCATAAATAATTTCTCAGTGTTCTCAGAAAAAGGAGGCCACTCTTCTCTCTCTTGGCCTGGTTGTCAAGGTGATTGATTTTAGTGCTAAGAATATTTTAACATACTCACCATTGGAGGGAATTGGAACTTCTGCCAAATTCATTTTGATGGAAATTTGTGACCTCCCATACATTTGAAATAACTTGTGAGCATGCTCACTTGGCAGTTTTCAAAGTTGAAACACGCCTACAGCTACATGCACTTTGGGGATTATCAGCCTGCGAAATGTATTAGTTGGTAATTAGTTCTTTTGTCTCCAGTTAATTTTTTTAAAGTCTGAAATGTGCTAAACACTTGAGGGGTATGAGGGATTTGTGCAGTTCCCCAGCTGAGAAATGTTTTAATTTGGGGAACTAATGTCCTGGTTGCTTCAGAACAGATCAGTAGGAACAATGTCAAGTTCTCAGTTATGCATTTTATAATGAAACTCCTTCCTCACCAGTTAAACGTAAAGATGTGCCATTCCAACTGAATGTGAATGGTATGGTAACTCAGGAGTTCGGTGCTGATGGTGAGGTTTCTCCATATCCATCTTAAATTGAGTTGTTCCTCAAGGCTTCATCACTTCCTTCCCTACCCATGGCATTGCAGTAGTTCCCCCTGCCTCTCCTGACAAGTCCTCATGGGACTCCTTCAGAACCTGGCATTATTGTTCCTAAATTGTCCCAAGGACAAAGTATCCTTCACCTCCCAAAGATCTGAGAGAACATTGTCTCTCCTGGTTAGGGAGCGAGGCCTTGAATTTGGAACTCTGACCCAGGGTCTGTCTCTTGTTGACAGTATGAATCACTATGCAGCGGTCAACCTAGTTGGCAACAATTACTTGTATTGTTCTCATGTAGATGATTAGCTACAGTAGGCAGTGATGTTGTATTTGACTTATTCCAGTGTAAAGTGACAGGGGACTTCAGCTCTATCATATTTGTGCATCCCAGATAATTGTACAACTATAGATGAATATTATCCTACCAAGCATGGATCTGACTTCATGTGCCGTTAACATAGTCTAGTAGTGCATTGGTCAGAGTTTTATATCTTTCTGGACTCTTTGTAAAGTGTCTCCCAAACATTGGGAGACAATCTCCATATGCCGTTGTATTCAGATTTATTTCTTTGTTCAACAAACTTTAAAAGAAATGTAATATCCTCTCCTTCCTACCCTAGATAAAAATATTTTATGAAGAACATTTGCATTTGGATGATGAAATTCGCTACATACTTGAAGGAAGTGGCTACTTTGATGTTCGAGACAAAGATGACAAGTGGATCCGGATTTTCATGGAAAAGGGAGACATGATCACTCTTCCTGCTGGCATATATCACCGATTTACACTGGATGAAAATGTTTGTATATGGCTTTATCTATTACACTCCTAGATATATGCATTGACAGACAAGTGTACAAAGGCATATTGCATAGTGGTGACTAAATATGCTATTTCAGATCTGTAGTTCATTAAACCCGGAACGTGAGGGATACAAAAGGATTTATAGAATCTGAGCTTTCACCTCTTAGTTGCCAGTTCCTATGCAGCTTATCAGTAGTGACTTCAAGTCACTGCCATCTTAGACACGTTCTGTAACTTGTGTGAAATCAGCGTATGGCCTGAGTCCAGGGAGTCTACAGTTATCCACCACAGTTGACTGAGGCATGGAGACTGATTCAGCCAGGCTGAAGGCAGAGCCACATAGGGAAGCTTGAATTGCCTCTGCTCTGTACCTCTTCTGTAGATAAACTGAGCATACTTGTCTTGGCATCTTTCATGAGTACTTAACTTGCCTGTAGAGAGGGAGTGTAGTCTAGTGGCTAGAGCCACAGCTGGCAGTCAGAAATCCTAGATGAATTCTTGGCTCTGCCATTGACTTGCTCTTTGACCTGCTGAGAGGGGTTATATGTTTAATATAGCCCTATGGCCTTATCTGTCTGTGGGAATAGCCTTGAATCAGCAATCAGTGTAGCTGCACTGGTGCTGACTCCCAACTGTGGACAAGGATATGCTCACTTGGTGCAAACCCCAGCATTGCATGTCTACATTTAGGGGTCTGTGCTGGTGCAGCTACACCAACGCCTGTGTCCCAGTATAGGCAAAGCCTGAGAGACTTGCTCAAGGTCATGGACTTTCTCCATCTGTGAAATGGGTTAATACTTTATCTGCCTTACAGGGGTATTGAGGATCCTCTGAAGTTTGTAAAACAGTATAACAGTGCTAAGTACAGCTACTACTACAATTGCCAGGTTGCTAGGATCACTGAAGCAAAATAGTGATGGAACTCCCAGGGTAGTGTGAAGCTCCTAAAGCATCTTGAGATGCTTTGAAAGATGCTACAGAAGTGGAAAATATCATAAACCGCAACAGGAGTTGTTAACTCTGTAATTCAGATGCCTCCAAAAGGAGCTGTTATGCTATCTGCAATTTCCTTTTCCTTCTGCAGAACTACGTGAAGGCAATGAGGCTGTTTGTTGGAGAACCAGTCTGGACAGCATACAACCGGCCAGCTGATCACTTTCCTGCTCGAGGACAGTACATCCAGTTTTTGGCACAAGCAGCACAGTAATACTCTCTGAAGTCTAATGTGTGGAAATGTCCTCAAGCTTGAGCAGAATGGACATTGGGAATCTTGTACTTCAACACCACTCACTGTAGGATGTGTTCTGTTTCCTCTGTCCAAATGTGCTTCTCTAGCTCTAATTTTGGGAGGGTGAATGGGGAGTATGGACAATACTTAATGTTCATCTTAGTCTGAAATGATGCTATCAAACTACTTAAGATGATTGTATTTAATTAAAAATCTATTGCATTCTCTCAAAGAAGCTGCACAAGATGAATTCACATAATCAGGACCTTCATATGCAATTTACCTAGCTCTGCCCTGGTACAAATGTCTGTGACTTTGTTATAATGAATTGCAGTGATTTACTTTTGTAGCATTTTAATAAAATGATTTTCTATCTTTAAATGTCTGTTAGCTATTTTCATGTCCTGACACTAAGAACCCATTGGACAATAGTGTTTCTGTGACTCTGTTAACTGGGTTCCGGTCCTAGCTCTCTCACTGACTTGCTTTTTGACATTGGACAAATCATTAACTCTGCCTTAATTTTGCCATTTGTAAAATGGAGATAAGAGAGTTACCCACCTTAGTCCAGTGTTTTGAGATCTTCAGACACTGTGTAATTGCAGGAGTATTATTGAAATAAGCCTCCTCAACAATGTCAAAAATGACAATGTTTTTTGTCTAAATGTTTGCTTTAAAAGGAAAGTTTGCCTACAGCACAGAATGTTGTGCCTGCTCAGTCTCCTGATGAGGTTGTAATTGGAGTGTAGATCAAGGCATGCAAATTCTTCACTGCTGGGCCCTGTGTGCAGTTGTTTACAGCTGTGCACAGTGGATGTGAACTGATACCATTCCAAATTAGTAACATTTTAAACCCGGTTTGCACATGTGCAAATGACTCTACAAGATAGTGGAAATGGAGGCCTGGGGCATATATGGGTACATCTATATGGGGATAAAAGCCGTGCGGCACAGCTGTGGCTGGTCCGGGTCAGCTGACCCAGGCTTGTGGAGTTCAGGTTGTAGGGTTAAAAATTGCTGTGTAGATGCTCAGACTGGAGCCCAAGTCTGGGCCTCTCCATCCTCACAGATTCCCAGACCTCTGGCTCCAGCCCGAGCTCGAAGGTCTATACAATTTTTGAGCCTCACGAGTCCAAGTCAGCTGGGCCAGCTGTGGGTTTTTTATCTCCATGTAGACGTACCCTGTGAGTCTTTATAATGTAGTCATTGGATTAGGTTGATTCTGCCCACCTTATTAAAAAGATTCTTCCAGTTGCCAAGATCCTAAGTTCCCTTTTGTAGTGACATTTTCATTATACAGTATTGCAGAGTCTGGATTTATAAAGACATGCAGTTATTTTTAATCCCTTAAATGTTTTTGAAAATGAAGTAGTGGTTTTGAAGAAAAGATGTACTATTTAGAATCTTCAAAATCACAAATGTATATAGAAATGGCCCCAACCTTTTGTATGTCACTTATCATCCTAGCTAGTATGATGGGGTATGTAAACCACACACAGGCCATGAAGAGGTTAACTAGAGCTTTTGTACTCTAGTTAATGCCATTAACGTCACCTGGCACACCTGGAAAGCGGGTGGTAGGCTGATGGGAAATTAAAGCAAGGAGCACAGGGCAGTCAAACAGAGAAGACTCTGGACCAAGAGGAAAGGACTGGCAAGAACCAGGGATAGAGGGATTCAGAAAAGCGGCAGGAGAGCATTACCTCCTATGGTGGGCCCTAGGAAGAGGCAAGAAATGAGGGGAGCAGCCATGTAAGTCAGCATCCTGAGAATAGGATGGATGACCAAAAGGAATAGGAAGAGAGACTGAAATTTCAAGCCCTGCAAGTGTGGGAGTGGTCTGGATGGTGATGTAAGCACTGATAAAAAAAGAGGTAAGTATAAGTGCCAAGTACACCATTACAGACTTAAGACTAAGTATGCTGTGGAAATAGTATGTATGTATTTACAAGTTAAAGTATAGGTCTAAGTGTAAGTTCTTTCAACTTCCGTAGTCCCTGCAATTGTCTAGTCAATATGTGGACAACTAACTAAATTATATAAGCACATAGTGGAAGAGAAAGAAAAAGCGACAATGAAATTTTATTCATATGCACAAGTAAACTTGGAATAACAATGAAAAAAATCTCTCAATTGTAAATATGTTTATAAATTTCCTTTCCATTTTATATATGTATTGATATTATGTACAGATAGCATCATTCCATAAAATGGATATTTCAGTAACAGCAACCATATCATCCCGAAGGTGGTTCCTTTCTGACAGTCTCCCTGCTGCTGCTGGACTGGGAAGTGAATCTCCCCACTGCTGGTTGCAGTGACCAATCAGAAGTGAAGGGGGCAGAGCCTGCAACAGCAGGGCCAACAGAAAAAAGCCCTGGCAGTCGGAACTCAGGGCCTGGACAAGCCGGGAGAATAGGTTTTGGGGGCCAGCCAGTATCTGGGACAACTGGGAGGCATATGTGTGTTCCCAAAAAATACTTTGAAAAAGTACTTGCAGATTTAAAAAAAGTTACTTAAAACTAGGATTGTCAATTAATTGCAGTTAATGCATGCGATTGACGCAAAACAAATTAACTAGATTTAAAAAAATAGTGGTGATTAATCACAATTTTAATTGCACTGTTAATAAATACCAATTTAAATTTATTATAAATATTTTTGGATGTTTTTCTACATTTTCAAATACATTGATTTCAATTACAACACAGAATACAAAGTGTACAGCGCTCACTTTATGTTGTTATTTTTATTACAAATATTTGCCCTGTAAAAAAGATAAATAGTATTTTTCAATTCACCTCATACAAGTCCACTCAGTCCTACTTCTTGTTCAGCCACTTGCTAAAACAAACAAGTTTGTTTACATTTCTGGGAGATGCTGCTGCCCGCTTCTTATTTACAATTTCACCTGAAAGTGAGAACAGGCGTTCACATGGCACTGTTGTAGCTGGCGTTGCAAGGTATTTATGTGCCAGATATGCTAAACATTTGTATGCCCCTTCATGCTTTGACTTGTAGGTGCTAAAATTTTACATTGTTTTATTTTTGAGTATAGTTATGTAAAAATAATAATAATTCTACATTTGTGTGTTGCACTTTCACAATAAAGAGATTGCACTTAAGTACTTGTATGGGGGACCGTCCAGATATTAGGGGCTTTGTCTTATACAGGCAACTATCTCTGGCTCCCCTCCCACCAAATAAAAATGTCCTGATTTTTCATATTTGCTATCTAGTCACCCTATCTTGGGGAGCTCTCACTGAGATATCGTAGGCTAATGTAACCAGCAGGCTAATGCTACTAACCAGTGTCTTTACCTTTGCCATCTATTCCCTCCCAGCAGTCATGTCCACAGCAATTTCTGTGGAAATCTCAGTCTCATGATACAGAATACAATACTGGAAACAAAACTGAAGTGCCTCCTTGCTGTGTTGCCTCCACAGATGGATATATACACCCTGGTGGTACAGCACAGTATGGTACCCATCTCTCTGCTGTCAAGAACAACACATTTAGGAGCATGCGCCATTTTCACAGCATGAACTAGCTCTAAAATTAAGTGAGGATAGAAATAAAAACTTTCTGCTCCAAACCCACGGGCCCGTATCACTGTAACTAAAGGAGAATCTTTGGAAGTGAGAACAGTATTAGGATTTAGCTACAGGGAGGCAGGAGAATCCACTGGAGCTCCTTTGCCTTCGAACACTTCAACTCCTAAGATTATATAAACTTGGTAGGTCGAAGTGCAGAATCACAGCAGGTGACCTCAGGATGGCGGGGGACAAGAGCTCCGTAGCATCAACTAAGCCCACAGAAGCCCGGTCGTCCTCCAGCTGAGCTCCATCAGCATTCCCGCTGCCTTCAGGCAGGGGCATGTGCATGTGCCAGGAAGAAAACGGCATTCCGATTCATCTTGGACACCGCCACTATAGCTTGTCAACGCCCATGCATAGGTTTCAATGTGGCGCGTGTCAGCCTCCAGGAGGCGATGGATGCCATGGCTACTGGTCACGGTGGGGAAGAGATTCTGGCTGCCATTGATGTGAAAAGACGAGGCAGCGACAGCAGTAGTGGATGGAGGGGCCACAGCAGATGGCGATGGGACAGCGGACAGGGCCACAGCCACCTGGGCATAGACCGTGGGGCTGACGAGTGAGTGCTCCCAGAGGTGGTGGAAAGGGTGGGGAGGGGGATGGGGAGGTGCCACAGTTGATGGAGGGCCACAGCCGCCGACATGGAAGGCGTTTTCTGGGCAGGGCTCTTACTGTTTTTCCTACACTGGCCCTTTCTGCCAACTGAGGGAGTTCCCTTGGTGGGTAGGAGTTTTGGAAGCAGAGCCCCGCCTCTGCCTCCTGCTGCCGCCCCGAAGGGTGGCTGAGGGTACAGGCAGCAATGGTGGTGGTGGTTGCCATGGGGAGGTGGATGGGGAGAAAGCCAGGCTGGGGCAATGAAGGTGGCCAGGATTCCCCTCTCTCAGTCTCCCCCTGCCTCCCTCCGTGGATGAAGTTGCCAGAGTAGAAGCCTCATGTGTGGCCAGGTCGGAGTCCACCATCAAAGGCAGGTGATGTGACCAGCCGCTGGAGCGGGGATAGAAATGATGAAGGGGTGGGGATAGAGAGAACAGAGGCTGTCTGCTCCTCCCTGCTGGATTTGCTGCTGAGGGTGGAGGGTGCAAACAAAACCCTGTGGGTGGTGGTGGTGGGGAATTAATGAAACAAATAAAAGAAGGTGGGGCTCACACCAGCAGTTGGGGGAAGCCAGCTCCTCTGGCTGCAGTGGGAGTGAGGGGCAGCTGTAGATGTATGTGTGTGGGGGGGGCCTGTGAATGGGATGATCAAACAAAAATGGTGGGGGGAATCGCAATGGCAGGGAGTGCACAGGGCACGCTGGTGGGATGGGGCAGGGAACAAACAGCAAAGGGTGGGGCCTGGGTGGTAGGTACCAAACAGCTAGGGGGTCCCCCACTCCAGGTGGGGAAGGGCAGTCAGGAAAACAAATAGTGAGGGAGAGCCTGGGGGGGCAGGGGAGGCAGGCAAATGAAGAGCGGGGGGGCAAAGGGGATGCAGGTAACAATCAGCTAAGGCAGGGGAGGCAGGGAACAAACTTTCACCACACGAGACAAGGAGTGCAGAAAACTGCAAGGCTGAGGAGACCAGGTGAGATGCGGGGGAGGGGGAGCAGCAAACAGCGGGGGGAAGGGGGGCAAAGCAGGGGTAGGAGACAGAGGCCCAACAGCCCAATGCAAACTGAGTGAAGGAAGGGTGAAGTCCAAGGGGCACCCGTACACACTTGTGAAGCGACTCAACAGTCACTGCTGCAGTAGTCCTAGGATGGGCGTGGGGGAAAACAGGCTGCTGGCAGCCCTCCCCTTGGCCCA